GCCGGCGGGCGCGATGTGCCGGGCGGCGCGGAGCGGAGCGGAGCCGGGCTGTGCTGTCACCGCGCGGGGCGGCCGGGATGGAGCGGCGGGGCCGGGCCCTCCTCGCCGCGGGGGGGGTCCCGTGCCCCGGCGCGGCGGGGGGCGGTGGGCGCGGGGACTCTGGCGGGGAACGGGTGCGCGCGGGGGCGGAAAGGGAAGGGCTGCGGGAACGGAGCGGGGCGAGCGGCGCGGAACCCTGGGCTGCCCTGCCCTGCCCTGCCCGGCGAGCCGCGGGCGGCTCTGGGGACCGGCGCCGGCGGCGGGCGAAGTTGGGCGGCGGAGGGGGCACGGCGAGGGGGTCGCCCCGGGCAGCCCCTCGCCCGCCCCCGTGCCCGGTCCGCGGGCGATGCGCGCACAGGGAAGGCGCGGCCCGGGGCGGGCGGCGGCGGTGCCCCGCTCCCCCTCGGCGGAGCAGTTTGAGTGACACCGCGATCATCTCGTTTCCCTTCAAGCTTCGCCTGTTGCCGCCGCCGCCGCTCCAGCGCCGAGCCGGGAGCCGGGAGTGGAGAGCGCAGGCTGAGGCTCCGCCGGCTCCGGCCAAGAGATCCCCCGTCTTTATGCCGTGATCTCCCAGCCCGGCCAGGCACCGGGGGCGCAGGGCGGGGTGGGGGGGACTGCGGGCTCTCCCCAGCCCTCCCGCCCGCACACCTCTTCGGGGGGCTTCCCCTCCTCCTTCCTCCGGGGCGATTTGTCAAACTTCCCCCCTCTTCTGCCAGCAGCAGCAGCAGCAGCAGCAGCAGCAGGGCTGTCCTCTCCTCTGTGCCGCCTCCTCCTCCGCCGCCGCCGCCTCCTCCTCCTACTCGGCATCGTGTATGCACAGCAACAAAAAATATATCCCCGACCCAGCCCTCGCGCCGAGGCTGGAGCAGCTCACCGGATCTCTGGGGCTGAGGCAACTCTTCCCACCCCCGCGCCCCGGCTGCCCCCCCCCGCCGGCGCCCGCAGGAGCCCAGCAATGCCGAGGAGGAAGCAGCAAGCGCCCCGGCGCGCAGCAGGTACGAGAGCCGCTTCCCTTCCTTCCCTTCTCTCCCTTCCCTCCGCGGCCGCTGGCTTCTCCTCCCGCTTCCCTCCGTCTCTTTCATAACCGGCTCCCGGCGGGCTGAGCCGCCGCTCCGCGCCGCGCTCCTGCCCCGCTGCCCGCCGGTGCCGGGGGCTTTGCTGAGCAACTCTCGGACTGGAGGCACAGCGCCGGGGCGGGGGGGACTGGGGGTATTTTATTTTATTTTGTTTGCTTGGGTGGGGGCGTATGAAAGCCCTTTCCCCACTTTGGTGCCCACTTTGATTTATTCCGAACTCTGCCATCGCCCGGGCTCGGTTCTGGGGCAACACGCAGTCAGGGGCAGGCGGGTGTGTGCGGGCACACAGTGCACGGGCACGTATGGTCGGTGTGACTCCGGGGCTGGGGGAAGCAAGGAGGCGAGTTTTGTTCATTTCCAGCCCGTACTTTGGCACCTACTTCGCTTTTCTCCCTCGTATTCTTCGTTCTTCTACATCCCGTTCCCTAACAGGCAAATGGTTTGTGAAAGCCAGGGAAAATACTCTTTCTAATTCATTTTTTTTAAATTCCTGTAAAAAAGAGATAGGGTATGTGTAAATACATGGCACGCTGCGAATGAAGTGTCAGGGACAAAGTGATTTGGAAGGTCTGCAGTGTTACTTGAAGATCCAAGCCCAGAACTGGTTCCTTTCCCCAACTTTTATCTTTTTCTCTCCTCCCCTTGTACTGCACTGGAGATGTCTCTGCCGGACAGACAGATCCGCCTAGTTGGTCACTTTCTTTGGTAGCCTCTTCTGTTAATCCTATTGATTTCTTATTAATGAGTCCAGATGAGAAGCTGCAAAGTAAACCCAAGGAAAAAAAAGGAGAAAGGTCTGTGTATTGTCAAATGACTGGCAAATGTTTCTTTACAATTTCCTCCATATTTTTTTTTCTTTTTAGAAATACTTTTCTAGGCGTTGTGCTGGTGAGGTTTTTTGTTTGTTTGGTTTGTTTTTCTTTTGCCAGAAATGTCAACTCCTGTTAAACTTAAGCAGTATTTTTTGGAAAAGCCAAATTGAAAAGAAAACAGCAAAAGAAAAGCCCCACATAATTTTACAGTAATCCTTAGTTGGGGATATGTGGGCTGGAAAAGGTTTCCTTGGCCTGTTGCCATCCTTGATTTGATGTCTGATTGATCGCCTGTCATCTGGCAGCCTTTGATCTATTCATTCCCGATAAACATCAATAAATCACTTGCCATGGTAACGCCAGACTCGGTGACGTCACACGTGGCCTGTCAACTCTCTGTTAGTGCAAGTTGAGGGGCTCCTGGCGAGCGGTGCCACCGAGCCACATGGCCCAGGGCTGGCGGAGGTGCAGGCACAGGGCTGGGGCTGGTGAGGGGCAGCTTTGGGGGGGCCAGGGTGAAAGAGCCCTGAGAGACCGGTGTGGAAGTTTTCCAGGGGCTCTGGCAGCATAACTGGCAGCGCAGTTGTGGTTGTGCTTAGGACAACTTGGAGCAGGTAGTCCCTGCAGCTTGGTGTAGGGTGTTGTTAGAAAACAGGCGCCCAGAAATGTGACGGTGCTTTCACACTGCTCTGACAACTTCTGCGAGTGGTGTGGTTTGAATTTAGTAAACAGCAAGGGGCTCGGGCAGTAATACAAATTGTAAGTAACGATGTCCACGTTTCCTTTCTTCTCTTCTCTGACATACACATGTGTTCAGCTCGTACTTTTGAGGCAGAGAAATAGATTTCCCAGCAGTCTTACTTCATTTACAAACAGCCAGAAAGTTTGGAAAGTTTCACAGTACTGTAGTGATACAATCTAGCAAACAATATCATAGCCAAACACTTCATGATAATATTTTGTATTTCTGGCCTGTGTCATCAAATAACCATTAAAAAAAATAAGAAGGTGAACTTTTCCTAATACTTGGGAAATTCTATTTTGTAACATGAGTTTAATTCTGCAAAATCTGTCTCTTCTGTGTATTTGATACATTCGACTCTGCTGTATGCTGGGCACTCCATAGTGCCATAGGAAGAAAATGTTTCTGCACTAAACACACATTCTGAGGTATCTTTCTCTCCCTGTACCACTCTCTCTCTCTCCCTCCTTTCTCAAGTGAATCATCCATGATGTGCGATCTATCTTTCATATTTAGCAGAAGTGTAATCTCTTTAAACTTTTAGCTTTTTGATAGCCACATTAAAAATTTAGTATTGTGTATAATTGCTTCCCACTGAGATGCTGTTTTATTGGGCACATTGGAAATGTTACTTTTTCTAATAGCAGTAGAAGCAAAGG